CGGAGATAGAAGTGACTGAAGTACGATGAAAATAACAGGGTGTGCTTATCACAGCTAAGTCTTCAGAGGTAAAGCAGCCCAGCGGGCAAACACAAAACCGCAGCCCCCGAAACTGCCACAGGAAGAGACTAGGAAAGAGATGGACTGGTGTTTTGCTTTGTTGCTTGCACTCTGGACCCGAGAGACAGTCAGAGATCCCTTTGCCTCCCTCCCTCCTTCCCTTGAGGGAGTCACAGTAATGACTAAACGAGTGAAGCTAAATTCACCGGATCCCAGCTCTGTACTTGAAACTACCAAATGAGTCCTGTAGCTCTTATCGAGGAATGTATGTACCAGTAAAAGATCGGGGTATGAGCAGAGATGTACAGTGTATGAGAAGTTTAGTATGATTGGGTTCGTGTTGTTTCAACTTTGCAAAATAGAAAACTTGTATGTGGGTTTTAATGCAGTTGTGTGTATATCAGATTAATACAGAAAGAGGAAGCCAACCCTTATAAATACAGTTTTGTTTGTTGAATAATTGATGCATAGTTTCTTTTCTTCCCCACACAGGTTAAACCGAAGCCACTGTTGTTGAAGTTGTTAAAGTTAGCTGGTGCAGAAAAGGACACTTTTACTATGAAGGAGGTGAGTACCTTTAATCACTAAAGGTAGATTACGGGGAGTACAGATAGGTTGTTCTTTTGTTTTGGGTTAATGGGTGGCAGTGTAGTTCACAGGTTAGGTAGAAGATGTTGAGACAAGGTATTGTTTTTATTCTCCTGCTGACTCGTTAGGTGGTGTTTAGCTAAAGTTTCTCAGTCTGAACAAAAATATTTTGTCGATCAGCAGAACAACAGAGTGCTTGGGCAATGGTAGATAGAAATAGCAGTGAGAAGAGCAAATCTCAATTAATGTAGTGTGTTTTCTCATAGACTTGAAACAGGAACCTGGGTATTTAATGTATGTGTATGTCATTTATTTTACAGGTAATATTCTATCTTGGACAATATATTATGTCTAAACAATTATATGATGAAAAACAGCAACATATTGTACACTGTGCAAATGATCTCCTGGGGGATTTATTTGGAGTAACAAGCTTTTCAGTAAAAGAACACAGGTAAAAGGGGATTCTTTTCTGCGAGTCTGAAATAATGGAGAACGTGATGCGTATGGCCTTTTTAAACTCTTTGCATCTTCAAAGATGATAAGCTCTCTAATTACATGTACCTAACTTGCAACATCTCTTTCTTTATCCCCTTCTAAGGAGACTATATTCAATGATTTCCAGAAATTTGATAGCAATCAATCAACAAGGTAAGCTAGTTTGGGAGGATGTTTTGTTTTGGGAAATAGTATTAGGAAAAATATAACTTAACTTAATGCATCCTGCATGTAGTGATCAGATAACATCGATCTCTCCATAACTAGATTTGGCTTTACACACTGCAGTCTGGAGCAATCACAAATAGTGAATCAAAGCAAACACTTGTTTATTCTGGGGGAGAAAAAATATCTGAACAATATTTGGGTAATTTTATTGAACTAGAACAAGAACAGGCACAATCGCGGCTGAACACAGAGAGCACTAAATTGAAAAATTAGTCATTTGCTTCTAGTTCTTACAGATAAGGCCCTCAACAACATAAAAAGAATCAGCTTCTTGAACTTGTGCCAGCAACGAAGTCAGGGCAAATGCTTTTCATTCTTTCTGTTAGTGTTTTGGTTTAATTTTCAAAACTTAATGTAGAGTGCATTTAGAATTGGTCACCCTCAGCTACAGAGTCCTATTCTAAAAGGTCTGTATAATTAAAAAAGGAGCTTTGTGGTAACTTTCTGGATAGCCGCTCCATAAATGGAGAATTGTTACATACAGTCATCTTTCCTGCCATATAGAAGTGCTCAGTATAGCTCTAATTTTTGACTGATACAAGGAGTGAACCAGAAGTTGAACAATGGAAGCCATTTTCTAAATTGGCTTCTAAATCCGTGTTAAGATGCCCTTTGTTTCTGATTCTTCCTAAAGGCAAGTATTCAGCTGCTGAAGATGGGAAATATGCTCTATTATCCTCTATTCTTATGCTTCCAAACTTAAATTACCTCTCAGATTCTTTTCTGGAAAGATAATTTATTAATTCAGGGTCTGTCTGGTAATAAGCATATATAATAATAGTTAATTTTTCTTCTATTTAATGCCTTTTCAATTCAGTGTTCCCATAGGGTGATAGCTAGTAAAAATATGCTTTGTAGAGGAAGAAGTATGAAATATTTTCTGCCTGTATTCTTTCCTATCTGCAGAATCCCAGTTAATGCACAGCTTTCATTTGAAGGCATCTGTAATAAAATCCTGAGCTACTTTGCAGTTAAGATTTCTTCTTCCTCCCCACTTTCTCACTTCAGTAATGTTATCAGGAAAAGTGCTGCACACACCTGAAAAGCAATAGAATGGAGCTGGTTTTTTTCCATCATTGAAAAATGTCTGTATTGTAAGTTTTGTTTAGAATTTACTTTGTAAATGCTGTGTGCGGTTAACTTCTGTCCCTTGCTTTTACTCTACTGTTTTTGAGCCTGAAATTGACTTTTTCTGCTGTGCTGTATTACAGCTTTTTGTTTTGTTTCAGACTCTAGGCTTGCTGACACACCTGAGGATGATGCCAGATTTCAACTTGAAGAAGCAAATGTTGTAAAGGTGATTTTTTTTTTTTTTCTTTTTAAAATCCTGAGATGTAAATTCTTTTTAGTATCACATGATACTGCCAGTGGGTTAGATGCAAATTCTAGCCTCTTACTTTGTATTCATGCTTAGGCTTACTCAGTATTTCTCTTAAGCAGGAATCTGTGCAAGAGTTAGACGAGAAGGAGACTTCAAACGTGACTTCCCGACCAACTACCTCTTCTAGGAGGAGAACACACAGTGAATCTGGTATGTGCAGACTTATGATGCAAAGCTTTCAATAGGATGGCCACTTGAAAAAAAAAAGTACATTCAGTTGCCTTACTGACCTTGAAAGATGCTGACAAATAACTGTTCATGTTTATCTGCTTATCTGAAACTAAATGTTCAGTCTGGTAGGAATACACAATTCCTTGCATTGCTTTAGTGTCACGTTACAGTTTTGGTCACTGGAACTGTTAGTAAGATGAAGGAATAACTTGTTCCATGGTCTGTTAACCTTGTTTCCATCAGCAAGTCTTCATCAGTTGTGTTACCTTCATGATGAGAACACTTTGTAATAGACTAATGAAGTCAAGTTAATTCAATTCCCTCTGTAGACAGTCACAAAACTTTACATTTTGTTTGCTGTCTAAACCCAGTTTTTGTTGGATTTCAATTGGTGACAGATGTCAGAGGTCTGGTAGTAACATGGAATGATTTTGGATATGTTTAGGTACCTGGCCATTCATTAAGCACTTTTTAAAAAACATTTGGTGACTTAAGCATCGTGTTTGTCTCCTCTCTACTGTGGTTATTCAGTAGTCACTGGCAAATACATTTTCAAAACGTGGAATGTTTCTTCCAGTAATTAGCAAATAAGAAGCTGGTCAGCATAAAGCTGAATAAGTTTCTCAATGGAAGTGTTCTCTACAGTTCTACTTAAATACTATTCTGCGGAATTTCTTACATTAGTTAGTTCCATCGCTTACTTCTGTTACCCCATGAGTTGGTGGTTGTAATTACCTGGGCAGTGAAAACCTTCTGTCACTGCATAGAACTTCATTTTCTTCACTTGCCTGGGAACATTTTTCAGTTCCTCAGCTTTTGTGTAGTATTTTTTTGTGTTCATCATAGGCCGCTGTTATGTTAGTCAGTCCAAAAACTGTGCTGTGTTGCTGAGCGGTTTGCACTAAATTAAAAGAACGTTTTAATGTTGTAACAAAAACTGGTGAACGGATGGAAAGTCTAGGTTAAACATCATAACCTGTAATATTTAGGCGTGACCCAGAGCTCATAAGGCCCTGTGTTGTGCTTACTTATTGTAGGTTTGATTATTAACTCTTGTCTTTGCATCCATTTATTAGTTTGTTACAACCTTAAAAGTTCTTTTAATATAGTGTTTTTATATACACTTTTTTTCTAATTTATAGGAAATCTTCTTTTTAAACCACTATTCTTGTTAAATTGGGATGGTAGCGGCTCCTTTGGAGCCGCTTATATAGTGTATAGAAACCTTGTGGTGATACAGTATCAGTACAGCATGGAGCCATGACAACTAAATGAGGACAACGATGGACAGGAGCAACCCTTGTGCCTGGGGGCACCAAATTTGGTGGGGCTCTCAGGGCGGAAAAAGAAAAGAGAGGGGCTGAGCCAAGAAGCACCAAGGGAAAGTAAGAGAAGTCTCAAAGTATGTACAAGTGTTTTGTTCTCTTTTCTTTTGCAATGAAAGATTCAAGACTTCAAGACTCATGGATTGTCAGGGTGTGTTTTGCAGGGCAAGGGAGAAGCTGGGCAATAGAGGGTGGGTGCAGAAGGCACCTGTAGGGGGGCAGCAGGCTCTTACTGAGGCCTGTTGAACCAAGTTGTCAGGCTTCTTGGGGAGTTTTCACTCTGCTGCACTTGCATACTGACTTTGCAGTGCCCTTTTAAATAAAATTGTTTCTTGCTAAACACTCTGAAAGTCAGTGGAGCTGAATTTTTGACTTACCTACCCCTAAAATGCTGTCCCCCTACTCCTTGTGCTACTGTAGGTGATTGTTTCAAAACACGATGTATTTGAAAAGCATTGCCTTTCTGCCTTCAAACCAAACATATTTAATAAGCACAGCTTAAAGCGATGCTTTCAGGGTTCGATTTTTACATGGTATGCCTTGAAGATTTTCTTGGTACTGTGTGGTGAAAGTCATAATGGTTTGTTACCGGAATCCTGTTGAGTAAATACAATTACATATAGTGGAAATACTAACTGATAAATTTGTTGAGGTGTCTGAAACTTGAACCTGAACTTCCCTTGCTTACCATAGAGTCCTCTGTCTGCATGTGACCTAGGAGCTAGTTTTTCTGTCTCCCTGCAAATTCTGGGATGGACTGGGAAGCCCTCTGAAAGTGCCTTTCTGTCTACTGACTTTAGAGGGAGCTAAAAGAGCTAAGATCTTAACTGTATTTCTTAAAATTAGGGGTTTAATGTGTCACGTGTGGAGTAAAAATGCTTCCAAATTTGCAATTATTTTATTTCCTGCATGTGGAGACTGCCATTTACAAGCTGTACTGATGGGACAAGTGGGGAAAGCCAGCCCCTGAAATACTGGTTTCAGGAATACTGAATGACTTTATTTTTCTTAAATTCCTATATAAGTAAATGATATTTTAAGCTTCTGTTAAGAATATTCAAAACTGCACATTGCATAGATGTTTTTGGAGTAATAAAAATTCTTGAATGTGCCCAGAAGAAAATTCTTCAGATGATCTGCATAGTGACAGAAGAAAACGACACAAGTCAGACAGCATTTCGTTGACGTTTGATGAAAGTCTCTCATGGTGTGTAGTCAGTGGTCTGTGCCGTGAAAGAAGCAATAGCAGTGATTCAACAGATTCTCTTTCCATCCCTGTAAGTCAAAATATATATTTTTGTGGTACAAATTTTGCAGATAACCACAAGTGCAAATAGGCATCTTAAACCATCATGTTCTTAATTAAAAGCAGCAGTGCCTTTAGCGGTGTCTAAAGAGAGAAAAGAGGCTGAAAGAAAAGTTGGCGTGTGGTTGGAGTGGGGTCTTTCATAGATCTGCTGAGGAAGCTGAAGTTAAATTTTTAAAAATATTAACTTGGAATGTTCTTTAAAAAAACAGATTCTTACTGCTTGGCAAGTATTGAAAAAATGGCAGATACATTTTGTGTTTTAAAATAAGTATTTCTCAGATGCTGAGAGAAGAAAAGCAGTTACAGATTCCCAAATGTTCCATAGTTTGGAATAGTTGGTAGTTCTGGTACAGCTTTGGCAGCTGTACACGGTAGTGCCCTGACGATAGGCTGTATTAATTTTCCAAGCTTTTACTGTTTTTTATTGCTGTTTTGAGCAAACACGAGGCAAATTATCTGTGGTTAGGCTAAGTTATGAAGAACTAAATTAACAGTATTCCTAATCATGTACTGTATTCTGAATTGACAGAACTTAATACTGTATCTTCACTCTTGCTATTTTATAATTGTTTGGCCACTCTCTCAACATAAAAGCTGATGAGAATAGAGAATTTAACGACACACAGCCAAAAGACAGCATCTTCTTGCATGTGCTCTTTCACTTTTTAGGAGAGCCTTTGTGAAATAGTAGCTGTTGTCTTCACGCTGGCCGAAGGTTGACTGCAGCCTCTTACTGCAGAGCCAAAAAATGGCTTTTAGATCCAGCTTTATTTTTACCTACCTATAATGTTTGTCTCACAAAAGATGTTATAACAGCAGCTGGTCTCATTTCTTCCATAGCTAATTAAACTTTGTTTCACAAGCCATCTCAACAGTAACGGTTATGGTTACAGACTGGTGAGATTGAATAGCTGCATTCTTTTTTTCAGGATCTAGATGCCAGTTCATTAAGCGAAAACTCTGATTGGTTTGAGCACAGTTCTGTTTCAGACCAGTTCAGTGTAGAGTTTGAAGTTGAGTCTATATATTCAGAAGATTATAGCCATAATGAAGAAGGACAGGAGCTCACAGATGAAGATGATGAGGTACATACTTGTTTTATTTGGGATTTTTTTTGACTGGGGATGGTGAGACGGGAACGGAACTTAGGGGAATACTTCATGTTGAGATGCCAACAAGAAGACATAGCTCTTCAGGTTTATTTCAGGACTGCATGTGCTATGTCACAAACTGCACCCAGTCGTTCTGAAATCAAATTACATGCCTGTGCAGTGGGATCACCAGTATATACCCGCCACACAGTAGCTAGAACAGTGCTAAGACTTTCCGCAGGCTCTGAAACAGACTCTGGACAGCCTGGAAAAGTCTTGTCTGTTTAATGTCACTCAGTAGCTGTTGGGAGTTAAAGGCAGCATTTGTACTTACATCTATTTCTACATTTTAAATTACAGAAGTATTTGTTGAGCTTTGACAGTACTTTTGATACCAAATGAAAATTTTCCTAGTAACTATTTGCAAAGGGATATTTCTGAATCATTTGCCTCTATGAATATAAATATTCCATAGAGATGCTGAAACACAATTTTAGAAGTTTTCAGTGGGAGGCAGGAAGACAGTAAAATTGTGATTACCATTATTTTCAAGAGATCCAGATACCTGGAATGTCAGGAATGAAGTGGGGAATTTTTTTTTGGGGGGGGGTGGGGTGTTAGTTTTCTGTTACTTCAAAGAGATGAATTGGTTCATGATGAGACTTGGTAAGTACCAGAGGCAGAGTTTGCCAGGGACGTACATGATTGTGATACTTGAGAGACTGAGTGGGACTGACTGTACTGATGTACTCTGGGTTGCAGTGCTGTGGAGCTGCACCCTGAGATAAGACAATGATTTGGGTGTGCCTCTGCTTCCAAACAGCAGTGTTGAGAATTACTGAACAGTTGAGGTTGGAAGGGGCCTCTGGAGGTCATCTTGTCCACACCCCTGGCTCAAGCAGAGCTGATTGCTCAGGGCCATGTCCAGATGACTTTTGAGTATCTCCCAAGGATGGAGGCTCCACAGCTGCTCAGGGCAACCTATGCCAAGTGCTCAGCCTCCTTCACAGTAACAAAGCGTCTCCTGACATTCAGAAAGAACTTCCTGCATTTTAATTTGTGTCTACTGCCTCTTGTCCTGTCGCTGGACACCGCTGAAAAGAGCCTGGCTCTGTCTTTACATCCTCCTTTCACTTATTTATATGTATGGATAAACCCCTCCACCCCCTGAGCTTTCTCTTCTCCAAGCTGTTAATAATCTTAGTGTGGTCCTTCGCTGGACTCTCTCCAGTAGCTCTGGATATCTCTCATGTACACAGTGCTCCAGGTGTGGCCTCACCAGTGCTGAGTGGAGGGAAAGGATCACCTGTGCTCTAGAAAATTCTGTTGGTCTAGTCTACATCTTTCTTCAAACTGTGTGTTAGATGTGTGAGCAGAATTCTTTTCCCCCAAGCCAGTCATCAGGTTTTGTGAAGTTATTGCTAATGTAAATAAACATATATAAATTAACATATATGCGTTATTACATTTGATTAAAAGTCTATCAGAAAATCAGATTAAAAATCTATCAGACTTTTAACTGAATGCCAAAACCGAGTTAACATCAATACTCTTTTTACTTAAACCAGGTATATCAGCTGACTATTTACCAGGATGAAGACAGTGATGCTGATTCATTTGATGAAGATCCAGAGATCTCTTTAGCTGTGAGTAAAAACTTGACTGACAAAGCATCATAAATTGGGAGAATTGGCAGACTAGATCAAGGAGTATAGATGAATTCTGTTGCTACCAGTGATTTTTTTTTTTAAAAAAAATTAAGCTGACTTTTTTCTTCTATGCTTGAAGATTCCAAGACAATATTTTAATGAATGTGTGATTACTAAGGAACTTAATTTTTTTTTTTTTTTTTTTTTAAATTGGTAAACCTCTTAATCCATTAAAAGAAAACTCCACACTAGCTTAGTTTCACTGACTTAATGGAAGGAAATTACTTGGACTCAAAATAAGACTTTTTGCACACACACAATAAAAAAGTCTTAGATGTGTGTTTACAAAACTCTTCCTATAAATCATAATATCTGGTTTTATTGTCCAACCTGAATAAAGGAATCTGTAGTATACAGATGTGAAGGCAAATCTGTTTTCAGAACAGTACTGTAAAATTAAAATATTCTGAGACCATTCTTGAAGTGTGGGAATAAGTTCAGGGGTTTGAGGCAAAATATGTGGGTGTATTTTTTTAAAAAGCGTACACCGAAATTAAAACATGGTGTATCTTTATGTTTGCTTTTCATAGTTGAAGCTTGAATAAAGCTGTTCTCAAAAACTGTCTAAAGCGTTCCAGGGACTTTACTGTGTGTGTAAAACACAGGGCTAGACACCATCTAAAAGCATTGCACTGCCTATGTATGGAAGAATATGTTTGCATGTTATTTTGGGGAATTAAAATTAGTCTTTTAAGCTTTTGATGTCACCAATATTATTCAGGACTCAAAAATGAGTTTGGTTTGGTTTTAGTCCCCCTATGGCATATAATATTTCTAAGAAGGGTCTTTCTCCTTAAAAATGAAGTGTATTTTTAATAAGATGGTTTATTTTCAGGATAGTGTATGGAGTAACCTCTGAGACACTGATGCAGGTGTCCCACCCCCCCCCTTTTTTTTTTTTTTAAATGACTAATGTTTTCCGTTCTCTAATACTCTGTGTCAGAGTGCCCTCACCTGGCCGTTTAGCACCCCAGCGGCTTAGTATCCCACAGGTTAAATGTCCTTCAGTCTTGAATCTTCAATCTTGAATAGTTTCCATTTCAGAAGTCTACTGTTGAAAATAATGGGAATGGTGACCATTTTATCATAAAGTTTTTCCCAAGGTTCTCTGTAGACTTTTGTGGTCTGCTTTCTTCCATTTTGCTTAAGAAATAATAAATCATTATTGTTTTACCTCTTTCACAAATCTGCTGCAAAAAAGAAAATCAGAGAGCAAGACTATTTTAATCTAGAACTGTAAGATGAATGGAATTTTTAAGTTATAAACTGGAATTTTAAAATTATAAACAAGTCAATAGCTCAAGATAAGTATTATTTTGGCAGTAATAAATTGTTTTGTAATCTCTGAATACTTCAGTTGTAAGCATTCTGAGTAGCCTAAGCTGTTCCAACCTTTGATTCACTAAAGGATTATTGGAAGTGTCCCGAATGTAGCGAAATGAACCCTCCGCTTCCACGGCATTGCCACAGATGCTGGGCCCTTCGTGAGGACTGGCTTCCAGATGAAAAGAGTGATAAACTGGAAAAGAACAAATTAGAAGGTTCCTTCCTTCTAGAGTCTGAAGAAGGTTTTGATGTTCCTGACTGCAAGAAAGTGAAAATTACTGAAGATAAGGAACCAGCTGTGGAGGAGAGTGAGGATAAAGCAGTACAAATTTCTGAGTCTCAGGAAAGTGAAGATTATTCCCAGCCATCAACATCAAGTAGCATGTTTTGTAGCAGTCAGGAGGACTATAAAGAACCTGAGAAGAGAGAAATGCAAGACAAAGAGGAGAGCCTGGAATCCAGTCTGCCTGTTACCAGCATAGAGCCCTGTGTCATATGTCAGAGCAGACCTAAAAATGGCTGCATAGTACATGGCAAAACAGGACACCTCATGTCATGTTTCACCTGTGCCAGGAAACTTAAGAAGAGGAACAAACCCTGTCCAGTGTGCAGGCAGCCCATACAAATGATTGTGCTAACTTATTTTAGTTAGATGGATGGTGACTGGAAAGCAGCAAAAGGAGATTCATAAACTGGTTAAGAGAGTAAGAAACTATTTTTGTATGCTTATTGGAAAATTAGTATTTTGGGTGTCTTTACATTTGGTATGAAAAGTAATTGCTGAAATAAATGCACTGGAGTTGTTAAGAGGTTAGCCTAGTATTCATAAGTCAACTTGAAGATTTTAAATCTCTCTCAATAGAAGCAACCAATTCCTGTAAACTGCCTGCCTCTTCCAAGTGTTTTATGTTCCATACAAGTTCACTGATGTTTGTTTTCCTGGATTAATACATTAAAAACCCAAATTCTGTAGTTATGGGAGGAGATACATGTTGAAGAGTTAGTTCATGTGAGCTCCTCCTCTTAAGGAGATGGAAGATTTTCCAGATTCCAGGATCTGTTGCCTGGTGAAAGCACCAGGCTCAGTCAGAACCCTCTGAATAAGTCAATAAAATAAATAAATAGAATCTTGTTTCCCTCATTCCCCAAACTTAAATTCTTCCAAGCAACCAAATTACAGGGGAGATCTTGCCATGAGCTGAGAGAAGGTGTGATAGAAAATAATGTAAGGCTTTGGAAATAGAAAAAGGGTATTGTGTATCTTGATTTTTATAGAGTGAGTTGTAAACTTCATGGCTGTGTCCGTCCTGAGAAGTGATTGGTCCAAGATCATTCTTGCTTTTATGTCTTAAATGTCCTGAGAAACTGGGTTTTAGAATGCCTTGTGGGTTTGGAGGTCTGCACTGTCCTGATTATTATTTTAGCAGTGTGAGAAAAGATAAACAAGCAAGATAAATGAAGGAGATGCTATGTAATGTCGTTAGGCTATCATAGGGGACAATTGTATTCTTTTTCTGCACTTTTGAGTTCAGCAGTATAGTATGCAGCTCGATTACTACATTCGCTTGAATAAAAATAGTAAGAAAATAAATGTCCAGCTCCACCTGCAGCAACAAATAAGCTGTGTTGTTCTAGTTGACGTAGACATTCTTTAAATTCAGGAGATTTCCCAACTTACACTGTATCACAAGAATTCTGAAAATCTCTTGCAAGGTGTTTGGCCAACTCAAAATTGCTCTCATTGGACCGGTCCTTTACTGCTTTTAGATCCTGTCTCCTCAATGTACTTTGTCAAAAACTTAGTGAGATTTATCAGTTCCTTTTGTAATGAGTCTACTCACTGACTCGGTTCTGTTGGTGCGTTCAGAGTAGGTGGCAGGTGTATGTTATTGTAAGCTCAAGTATCTTCAGGATAGTTAGATAGCTCACCTGAGCTCTCTTTCAGATGGAAAATTTCTGTACCAGTGAGTTGTATTTATTCCTTTGGAAAACTAGTTACGAGAGGAATTGTTATGTTTTTAGCACCTTTTAATTTTACAGGTAGTTGCAATGGCAAATAACTAGCCAGGGAGGGCCAAGAATGGAGATGTAGCCTAAATGCAGAACTTGTGCTGCGTTACCACCCGGCAGGCTAAACAGCTTCCTTACCACCACCAGTACAAAACTGTTGACACCTGCATGCTAGCACAGAGACTTTCACTGCTATAATTACCTTCATGTCAGAGCTGAAATAGTTCCTCTGTAAACTGGGGCTGTAGACACCTGGGAGACAAGGAAGTACCTAGGAAGAGGACATAACGCTGTCCAGGAGAGACTTTGTTGGTACCTGCCCACAGAGAAATACTGCCATAGGTAAGGCTGAATTACCAGCTTCAGTCATGTTTTGTTTGTACATTTGAGCCAGTGTTTGAAAAATACTACTAAAAGATACTGATATCAGAAGTTTTACCATAATTAATTTTAACTAAACAAAAAACCCCCATTTGTATATGTTTCTTCAGCTTCTTACTTGCAAATTTCTTGCCCCTTGCAATTTGTAAAGCGACAGCAGGTAGCTGGAAGTTCTTGAAATTCTTTAGTCAGCAGGAAACTTTAATGGGATTTGATAATCCTTCAGCCTCAGATAGAGAAGTCCTTTGGGAAGATATTTAAATTTTTCAAGTAGGGATGCTTCTGATAGATGGCTACCTGCCTTAATTTACACTGCTTCATATTATTCTTAATTTTTGATTTGATAAACGTAAGTGCAGTGAAGCTTGGCAGAGGCTCTTCCATTGCATCTGCAGGTCAGAACCAAAGAGCAGTCATACCACACTCTGGAATCTGCAGCTGAGAACTGTAGACGTGTATATTTGGGAGAAGCGTTGATAACATGGGGACTGTACTTAAAAAAACATCCATTGCTTTGTCTTCCCTGTGTCTTGCCCTTTTTCAGGGTGATGCCTTCCCTTCAGTCATTGGGATAGCTGTGTAACTGCAGTTTGGGGGGAGCAGCTGTTCCTGCCTAGTTCCTGCTGGGACAGATTGTGCCATCCTGCACTTGGCATTCAAAACTCAGTCCCCTTGAGTGATCTCCGTGTTTAAAAAAAATATTTGGCTCTCAAAAAGGCACGTATGGTCGGAGCGATCAGCTGTGCTGTTCACAGTCACTCAGCTTTGTGACTTTTCTTCAGAAACAATCTTGCAGTAACGTTTTCTGTTTTAGCAAAAGATAAACTGAGAGCATGCAGTGTAATGAATTTTCCCTTTTATGATTTAAAATTGTACTTCCCTAGCATGTCTTCTGCTGTGGAGAATTAGCCCTGGAAATACCCTGCGCTCCATAGAAAGCTGGGGACATGGGTAATTTTGATTTCTGCATCTATGGCCAAACTACTGTGTCAGCATGAATCTAGTTTTAATTATATTTTCTGGCTTAATATTATTTATGATAACTTTTGGTAAAACTTCAGTGTGTGTTTGGGTTTTTTCCCCCCAAAGCATGCCTTACAGATGAGGGAGTGATGGGTATTGGTGCCTATTCCAGTTCCTGTAGGAGACGCTGGCAGGCAAGGGTGTGCCTGGGGGTGTGTATATGTGGTGCTGTGGTCCCGGTCCTGCAGCCTGAAAGGCTGAAATCGTTGGGTGTGTGGGAGTAGGGGGTGACCAACCTGGTGTTTATCATCACCCTGTTCTTTCTGGCCTTGGGTAGCAGCCAACTCAGAAGTTGACAGTTGTTCTTTACTTGGTGAGGTCTTTGAGATCCTTATATATAATCGTACACATTTTAATCTTTAATTTATTGCAGTTTGTAAATATTCTTGTGTTTACAGTGGTTTGAGATTTAATTTATTGGTACCTATGTAGATACATAAATATGCATAGTTCATCACAGTCACAAGAAGAGTATTTAAGAAATTGTAGCATTAAAATAAATATTCAGATTATATTCAGATGAAGAGGGGCATAGGAAGATTTATGGCTTTGTTTTCTTTTTTTCTTCCCGTAAAACACCTTCTGCATTGAACCTGAACAACATTTATTAAACATAGGTGGAGGTTGATGCAACATTAGCAAAGTGAAAATATTTTGATGGTGTTCGTTTTTTCTTTTGGAATGCTTCAGCATGCCCGAGTGCAACAGCCGCGAAGCTGACTGATGGCTTTGTTGTGTTGGTGACAGTGGAGGTGATGCTCTGGAAGCTGGGGGGAGGGGAGGTTTCAAGGTTAATTTGCAGTGGGTGGTAAATGCTTTTGTCTTTGCACGCGTGACCAAGAAAGCTGGAGGGGTGGCCAGATGCTGACAAAACGTGACAGTACACAATATTCAGTAATTGTCTTTGTTCCTTCGTGTACTTCAGGTAGACAGTTGTTACATACAAATGCTACAAGAACTTGCATTTATTCTTTTGTATAAAGCACAATAAACTCACTTTTTGATTAGAGACTTTTTCACCTATGTAGCTGTTTATTAGTATTGAAATTCAGCTCAACCCAAGGAAGCAAAGTGCAAAGTGAAGTACTCGAGGCACATGGCAAAATTGCTTTGTTTCAGCTGACTTTTCCTAAAAAGCCTGGAAGCGTTGAATATTATATTTGAGAACCTTTAACACAGAGTCTTCACTTAAGATACATTAGTTATGAAGTCTGCTGCTTTTGTCCTTTAAAAAACATGCACAACTGAAACAGATGTAGCCGGATTGCTGATTATATTGAACATTCACACTGCAAAGATGATGCTTTTTGTGGAGCAGCGCCCCTCTAGTGTTCTAGTGTTACTAACGAGCCTGCTGGAAGAAATGTGTCCTGGGCTGTCTGCACCAGGGACCTGTGGCTGCTGCCTCAGTTAGCAGGTTGATTTAGAAAGGGTGAAAATGCTACAAAATTTTAATTGATGAAAAGTGCTACATTTATTCTAACCACATGGTACAGTTTTTATCACTGAATTGTGATCGCTGTAAATTTGTTCAAATGTTGCTGTCTGAAATGTCTGGGTATGAAGCCACATGCAAGACTTCAGGCTGATTTTTCCCCTTAAAGACTAATATGAGGGAAAACCAGTTCCTCATCAAAAAGAGTAATTGTTGCAGAAAGTTGTGTTCTTACAAAAGAGAGATTAGAAAATTTAGAAGCATAATGAAACTAAATAGACTGAAATGAATAAATAGGATTAATATAGGGGTGAAGAACTTTTCTTCCCTGTCTTAATCTAAAGCTGCTGTTGTGTTGGGGTGTAACTCTAGAAGTAATGTTTATCATTTTCAAGCAGGTAACTTACTCAGCATGTTAAATTGCCACATTCAGCCTAAAAAGGGGCATTTGCTGTTGTGGTGCTTCCCCTGCGGGAAGGAGCACCCAGAAGTGCAGGGGAGGCGCAGGAGGGCAGTGTTCAGCCCTGTTCTCTGCTCTCTTGGATGCTCTCAGTCGTTTGCAGTGCCAGCAGGTGGATGTAGGCTTTGGGTGTCTCGAGGGTCACTCCTGTACTCGCGTAACGAAGTGCGTGACAGAGCAGGGTTGTACTCTGGAGCGCAGGGCCCTGGCTCCCGTAGGCCAGCGCTTCGCTAGGGCATCAGCTCTCCCGGCTGGCGCGGGTGGGTCTCTGCCCACCCCGCAAACAGACCTTTCCAGCCCATCCACACCTGAGTCAAAGCCTTAAGTTACTTGTCATTTAAAGGTTGCGCAAGCAATGTAAAGCAAAAACCACCACCCCACCCTGAAACCTGGGCTTAAGGTATCTTTTAACCGAGGATTGCACTTACTGAACGTGAAAAATGGTTGCTTTTAACTGTGCTGCTTTTTTGTTCAATTAGCACAGCTGACTGAAAGCTTCAGGTGAATGCCTCTGTAATGTGTTTGTGTGTGTATATATACTACATGTAAAACTTGTTGGTGATACTTAAAAAGGTGTTGTGTCCCCTTCTGAGTAGATGCTCCTTTAACTTAAGAGCCTGATTTTAAAGGACAGTTCTTGGTTTTGAGCTAAATTAATGGCTGTCAACATGATTACATAATACCTAAACCAATACCAAATAGTTTTTCCAAAAGCAAAGATTGACCTTGTTGTCTGACTACATGTAGCTGGAATGCTGGTAAAATAGACTGGTTTATAGTGAATTTAAATAGCTATGCAATTTTGCCACTACTCCTAGATGACCACGCTTTCAAGAACTTGTCACGGTGCGCACCTTCTGGGTACCTAGTGCATGTACTACCACAATCAGTAACAATTAAAATACAAATATCTGCTCAAATTGCACAAAGTATAGATCCACTGATGAGAATAACTTTCATGTGTACTGCCTTTGTATTTCAGTTTTCAGTTTTTCCTTTTCTGAGGAAACAAAATGTTACTTTGCATTTAAGAGCTTTAAATAAAGATTTGTTTATATATTCCTTCCTGTTCTTTTTTCATGTCAATGACTTGATTGTTAGAAGTTCTGCTGCATGGTTTCCATACCCATTTTTAATTCTGTGGGCCAGCACACAGGCTCTTTCTACCCTCACTCAGCTGCTCGCTTCTCACAGGTTTCATACTTTTGGGAGATTTTCAACTCAAGGGCTCTCTACTTCCTGCTCTAAGTGACAGAATCAGAACCAAGTATCAGTGGTGGGAGTAGCGGGTAATTACCTACTCTGACTGGTAGACAACCCACAGCAGTTAAGAGGGGGAGTAAAAGGTACAAAATTCAAACTGAGATGATGAAAACATTCAAAAACCAGTACTGTGTCTACACAGCACTCACTCCAAATCGGCATTGCTCTTTCAATTTCTGAAGTGCATTTACAACTTCACCGGCAGGTGGCGGGGCCTGGTGTGGCAGGCACGAGTGCTGTCTCAGTAAAGGTGGTGTGTTTAAAAAGGCATCAAAAGATTAACTGCATTCCTGTGTTTTTTCTTATGTATTGTATACAGGAAAAGATTGATGTTTCCAAAGATAATCTCTTCGAGTTACTTTTGAAATTGCTTAAAACAATTACTGGCAGATAATGCTTTAAAATAAACACAGGAGATGGTACAAGCTGGCTTTTCTTGACAAATATTTGTGTTTACTGGACAGCTTCAAAAGGCCCTGAAAATGACCTGCCAGGCAAAAGGAACTTGCTCCTCCTGCACACAGCCCAGCCCAGGGAGCAGGGGTAGCTCAGCTGTCTTATCAGGAGGCAGTTTGTACCTTGCCACATGTGCCAGACATGCTTCAACCAGCCTAGCAAGGGGGCTGTGAAATAAACACTCTAAAACCCTTGCTGAAACTATTCAGATTAAAAAATTCTGAAAGTGTGTGCAGTTCTGTTCCATACTGAATTCAGTAAACAAAAGGACAACATTATAAAGCCATTGATGACTGTTTCCACACTGTTTTCAGAAACTCGAGTCGCTCTTTTGCCTGATGGCACAGGTTATCATCAAGCTTCTAGCAACACAGCCTGTCAGCACAAACTTCATTTCCCTTTTCCTGTCTTAACAACATGTCTCTGTTACTGGTCTTTACCTTACTCCAGCCCTGAGCAGTCTCAGCTGCCCGGGTAAGAAAGAACATCCATAAAAATGCCATTCCTCAGTTAGAGCAGTGGCTTTATTTTGGGTTGAATTTACAGTTACATGGCACACGAGCTGTTGGTTGAACATGAAACATTTGCAATACAATCCTAGACTTTTTTGAACTTGGGCAAATTCTTCAGAATGTATTTGTACTTTCTGCATCAAAATTCTAGTTATTTCCATAGGCTGTACAGAATTTCTTTAGAGTAAAATACTTATGTAGAAAAATACGAGTCTATTATAATTAAAGTAAAACACTTGATTGTCAAGCCAGTATTTTACAAAATACAATAAACATATTGCAAATCTGAGAATTTAGTTTATAAAAAACATACATTCTTTGGCATATGCAGTTCCTTGTCTGAAGAGCCACATTTGTGCAGAAGATTTTGCCTTGCCCCTCTCACATCATTCCTCACTTTATTTGAAAGCAACAAGCATAACGGTCATTAAAACCAAGATATGTAGAGTTGGTTTTGTGGCAGCTGAAGCCAGTTCAAGGTCTTGGTAGAGGGGAGTTTTGGGACATGAAGCAGCTCTTGATCTGATAGAGACTTCTGAGAAAGAAAAGTCTTGTTTCAAAGCACTGAAGTTACCAGTATTGTCAGGTATTTCCACTGTCTTCAGCATCGATTTAAATCCCGGTACAGTAGCCTAGGAGCAAACATTGAAGTTTTCTTAGAAGGTTTGAAACATTGAGTTTGGTTGTGAAACAATCATTGTCTAATGTGGTTATTTACACTCTCAGCATATAGGAAAAAAATGTTGTAAACATGTTGGAGAACACAGAATGAGAAAAGAGTAAAGTTCTCACATTATAGCATGAGACTAAACCCCTCAAAACCCGAAATAGAAACAGTAATAGAATATTTATAATGGGGGGGCACCACCTGCTGTACGAGCGAGGGAATCCTGCCATTCCACTTAGGCAGAAGCCCTTGGCTGGCAGCGGGCAGAGCCTAGCTGCACAGATGCTCTAAATACCAGCTACTGACAACCTCCGCAGAGAAGATGCTTCCACCCAAGGAAATAACTGTCACTGATGGCGCTGTCAGCCTGTCCCTGCCTGGGGCTATGTGGATCCCAGCCTCCACCTCCTCACCCTTCAAGCAGCTCTGTGGTTTGTTTCCAACACCTCAAGCTACTGTTGCTGTAGTCCAGATGCTCATCCCAGCTGGCTCCACCACCCGGGTCAGATGAGTGCTTATCTCTAGACATTCCGGGGACTCAAGATCCTACTCCATCAAAAAACTTCCTTTCTGCTAACTCATGTTTTAAGATACTTTCTTTTAAATGTGCTGAAGAATCTTTACAGCTCCTGTATATGACATGAGCAAGGTCAGCTCATTGGTCTCACTGTGCTCAGGAACTCACGCAATTCAAGACTGATTTCCTCAGGCCACACACTTACATTGATCACATACGTCCCAGGCAGAAGGAGAAGAAAGTACTCCCCGTGTTCATTTGTTCTGTAGGGGCAGACATGAGGCCTTCCTTTGGCTTCCACGATGACATTGGGAATGGGATTCCCATTCCTATCAGTAACTTGACCCTTGACACCTATGAAAAAGGGAGAGGAAGATCACAACCTGTAACTGCAGTGAGCCTCTGCTGGGAAAGTCAGACTATTTGTTGCTGGATGCACTCCAAGGATATTTCACTAATTTCAAGCAGGTCTAATACCATCACGAGTCCCTTCTATCTTACTGAAGGAACTGAAATAGAAAGTCTTTTGCTTATTAATAGTTTACCCTCACATTAAGTTAGAAAGTAGCACTAATCTCTGCTTCTTAATCTCATTTGCTGAAAGCATCATATATAGTCATTTTATGTGTCTTTTACTGAAGGGCCTCAATCTTCAGTACTGGTTTGAGGTTTTTTGCCCTTTTTTTTTTTTTTTTAATTTAAAAGTAAGTTCAACTCTTACCTAGTACTTCCCAATGGCAGAATACCAATAATGTCTGCTTATGAAGTAGTTTCCCTAAATTCTCACACACCACCTCCAAGGCAGCACTGACATTAAGCAAAGATAAAACAGCAGTCAGATATTCTGGGCAACAAAGCGCAAGATAAGCAACAGATTTGTGCAAACCCTTCAACTCATTGTGAAGTACCGCTGCTTCACTAAGCAGCAACTCTCTTCTAACTGTGAAGTCAAGATCACACCAAGAATAGCCTTGTAAAAACACAAAACCCAAAGACCCATGAAATGTGTATGCATACACACATACATTTAGAGACCTCTGAAATAAACGATTGCCCCAAGGTTGCTCAGGACAGCAGACTCCCTGAGGGGAGTACATGGCTCTCCTCCCGTACCCACCCCGAGCCTTGCAACACATGCTGTTCAGAAGAGTTAGCTCCCAAGTTCCCATCAGAGCATCTCCCCTGTGAGCTCTGACAGTGACCCAGGCTCCTGAAGAGTTCCAGCCTAGCCTCAGCTTTAGGTCCCTTCCCCAGTTGCATACCCACCTAAATGTACTTGTTTTATGTATTCAATTAGAGCAGCTTTGTTGTCTCTCCAGAACTTTTCCAGCTGGTCTGCTGGAGGATATTTACAACATGACAGCTCCAATGTAATTTCAAAACACTGTCCCCAGACATAGTTGTAATCTTGCATTCCACCTTAAAAGTGAAATAGAACAAACAGCATTCATTTGCAAAGAAGCACTCAGTTCAAGCTAGAAGAAAAACAGGAGAGCTAAAATGTTGGTACTTGCATCACACCTGTAAGAAAAATAAATCAGATAAATTATTCCTCAATGCCACACCTGTATTTACTGCCTCCTGCAGAAAACCAGCTTAATTACTCTAGTTACATGTAGAGTGTTGTTTTCTAAAGCACAGTGGCATTTTGGGAATGATGACTATTATGGCTGAAGAAGGGTGGATCTTTGACTTAAATTAAATCAAGCACTCCCAACAAAACAGGGGCAGATAAATTCACAGGCCGGCACAGAGTTTGCCACTGCCAAAGCCATCCTAAGAGCCTTTTAAGAGTTTGAATTCAGACTGTGGAAGCAACACGCAGTGGGTCACAGTATACAGGACCCATATTCTATTTGGATACACCAACAGTAATGAAAACATTTATTTCCACGATCAAATGTTAAAAAAATGGATGATACACAAACAGAAGATTGGTTTTCTTTCTGAAAGGACAACACCTTGGTGCCACACCAGTGCATGCATGTGTGTGTAATCTATACAGCTATGCAGGCCTTAGGAAAGGGCACAGCAGCAGCCAGACAGCAGAGACCGTCTCATCCACTTGTGCAACTGCTGACAGGAGGAGCCTGCAAACATCCCAATCCTGCTCAGAGAATCGGTATAAATGTGTTGGCTTACTCCCCTCATCAGCTTGCTACTCTGGGCAACATCACAGCCCTTTCATCATCAAAGATGGCAGGAGAGAGTAAGAACATAATACCCGAAGCAGCTGAAAAAACTACCTCTGACATCCTTACCTTCCAGCTGGTACCAAGAATAGCCGTTGGTAATGCCTTCCGGAAAGGTCTGTCTGTCACACCCCATCCCTTTGTACATGCTGGCATGGTTGAAAGAATACGTTTTTGCCAGATGAATAAAGACATCATCATCTGGAGACCTGCTATAGCCTTTCAAAGAGCCGGTAACTGCAGAATAAAGACAGCCATCACATTAACATAACGTATCACTACTGGTGTAACATACAGCGCTGGTTTACGTACAGGTTAAACTTCTCCCCAACAGCCATATCAGGCAGTGAATTTTGATGGAGTATATCAAAGTCTGTCCATCCCAGCTCAAAAGCTGAAAAAACCTTGCAGAAATCCTTATAAATTTTGCTTTGGTTGAGCTAATGTTCCTAAAC